GATCAGCGCTGCAGCCGGTTGGCTGCATGCGTTGATTGAACACAAATTGTCGAATGGACATTTGAGAATAGTTGATTGCTAGGTCGACTCCTCTCGTATGGAAATGGCCATAGATCGAAATTGGTCCTGTCCTCGTAATCCATCTATGGCGAGCTATACATCTAATGTGATCTTGTACTTAGACCCTAGATTCTGCTGCAATTCAGTGCAAGCGAATGGAAAGTCTGTAGCACTTTCTGTCAAAGGAATGGAACAACATCACTTTTTGAACTGAGGCAGTCCTTTAGATACTTAGCAAGCACTTCACTACTACCGGCTCAGCTATTTGTCAGTAGCTCCAACTATTCAGAAATATGACCCTGCATACCCTTTAAATATTTGCTTTTCTCCTTGCTGTTTTGGTCTTTTGTAAAAAGAAAAAGTGGGTTGGTTGTGGTGGATATCCTGAGTTTATTTCATGTAGATAAAGAGAGCCTTCTGTGTAATTAAGATTCCAGCAAGGAGAGATGAAGGTATTACGGACAACAAATTTCAATTGATGGAGCAAAAAAGGGGGAAAATCTATAACCATTGGCAGGTAGTTCCTCTGATTGCAGTCATTCCGAGTCCAGCACTGCAATCCAATTACTTTGTATACTTGTGGAAATGTCTGCTAAAGGAACAGAGATTTTATCGAGATGCTTACTCTAACCTTGTGCAGGGAACAGTTTAGAAAGAAAATCATAATTAGTGTTTCATATATTAATTTGACAGCTTGGTAATTAGACTAAGTCCAATAATGAGTAATTGAGCAGTGTTGCATAAATTTGCAGTGCCCTGGGTGACATGTCACATATTTCCCTGAAAAAAGAGACTTTGTTTAATTTGTGATATTTATACTACTCACATTTTCATATCCCTTACTAGAGTGACTTCTTTTTTTTAGGGTTAAAGTGCCATTCTTAACATATTTCGTCCTTAATATAAAGCTATGAAATTAAAGAGATCTTACGTTTCTTAAATTGCCTTGCATAATGTTCAATGTATTGGAGAGTTTTTCTGTGTGTGATGGTTAATGGAACATACTTGGCAGGGCAGCTGTCTTGACTGGTTGACCTCACCAACTTCTCATTTACAGAGGGCAAACTAGGATGCAGATTTTACTGGGAATAAAGACGCAACTGCATGATGTAGGCAGATTGTTCACGCTTTTATAATCTGCAGGGTTTCACCTATTGACAGAAGCTAGACACAAGAAACCCCTGTGTCCTGGAACAAGCCACATGCATTGCAGACGTTTGTTGCAGTTGTCAGTGTTTGCTTTCAATGACTCAATGAAACAGAAATTCTAAGTAACCATGCAAAAACCAATTTGTTCAAGCAGTGGTGTATGTTTGTAGTTACATGGTTTATAGGCTATTGAAGTATTTATACAGTATTTCTGCTGTGTAGATGAAAAACCTAATTCACATATTCAGTCTGGAAAAATCACTTTTAGGAATAGTTTTTTTGTTTGATCTTTAAAGCAATTTAATCCGCTGTGGTTCTAAAGTTTAAAACGTTTTTTTTTACCCTAATGCATTCCTTGCATTTAAAGTAAAAAAAACATTTAAGCACAAACATTGCACAGCGCAGGTAAGTATAAAATGTTTATTTTAATTAAAAACATGTTGCCTTTACAACAGCTTTAATTATTGTATGGTAGATGAGGAAATCCTAATCCTAATATATAATATATATATATATATATATATAGACAGAAATGCACCCTAGAGTTTGGTAACATTCCAACAAGAGACTTAATTTCTAATTTCTTCCACTGATAACTTTATTGAAGCAACAAAGTCCAGTCTTAATAAGCCACACCCTCTGATCCATCTTAGGAGATGCAGCCCTGGTGGCTACCATACAGGTCGCATGCAACCTGCTAGCACTCTGTGTGGCCCACTGTGTGCTGGCCTAAGTACGCCCCAGCTGTGTAGCATTTGCAATGCCAGTCCTGCCTGCTCACATTCCTGGTGGTAGCCCCTGTGTCAACACCCTATCCCACCCCCAGCTTCTAGTGGCTGTATTCCATGCTGAGTTCGTGGTGGAGCAGGACATGTATGCAGGCTGGAAGTTGGCGGTTTGGAGACTCAGTTTGGTCTGATGGAAGGGTTACTTTATCACTAATCACCAAAATTGGTTGTCACTCATACATTGTTGGTCAGTGTAGTGCCCTTTTATATTGACTGACAGCCAACCTTTGTAAGACGTGGGGTGGTTTACCAGCACTGCCACCGCAGGCAGAAAGGGGTTATTTAATACTGCTATTGACCACCAGTTTGGGGATGTTAAATAAAACTGCCACTGACTGTCAATGTCTGGGTTAATATTGTATCCACTGACTCCTATGCTGGGTGTTACTTTTGTGACCAGGGACATGGGTGCTGAGTGTTATTTTTCTGCTACACGATGGGGCTTTCTTTGTTCCTGCTCTCTTAAGCATGCATTGCAGTAAGAAATACAGCAAGATCAAATTTTTCAGGCATTGAAGTGGATTAAAAACTATAAATGATCTGCCTAACTTGATGCAGTGCATTCCAATGCATGGAAATGAGGTGAGGGATCAACTTCCTTCCACAGCTTAACTGACCCAGTTGGACGGTTTAGACTACAGGTTGACTGAAAGGCGTTACAAGTTATTACATGTATGTTTATTTGCACCTTATTTCTGATAATACTAAGATAATTTGAAATATGTTTTGACCAAGTCTAATATTTTATGTATTCCTGGACCCTGATCCCACTAGAACACTGGTTACTTATATCTCTTGGAATTAAGTAGTGAGAGTTAGGCCCCATTCACATCTCGTGATTTGGGATTGCAGCAGAATCACTGGAATTCTGTACAGCATCCCAAATTGTGTGGCAACTGCAGCACAATGCACTGTGTGAGTTTGGGTGACATTATCCTTCAGTGGCACCCTAAACATGATGCAATTCTTCCCTGATCATCGTGCTGCAATCGTGACAAACCAAACCTTTACAAATTGCGTGAAGCTTGTAGCTGGCAAAAGAGCAGGAGCTTCTTTTCGGCACCAAATGCACATAAGGCAGCCCATGCAAGTGAATGGGCTACCCTGTGTGACACACAGAATCGCGTGAAAATCACAATGTCAAAATCATGTAGTTGGAACACTCATTTCCGGTACATAGTGATGTGAACAGGGCCTAAATAACTCTGCCATTCTCTGCTGCGATATTTCCATTATTTTACTTTAGTCAGCAGAGTACTCAAAACAGCTGAAAGTTTAAAACTTATCAAATCCCAGAACCAAGAATATAATATATATTGCAGTGTTAGTTAAATTATTATTTTTTTTAACTTTTATTTCTCCTGGCAATCCTGCAGATAATACACTTCCTGTCCCTGGGTGGCTCCCCCACTCTATAGAGGATCCATAGTCAGCCTAGGCTGCTCTCCTGATGAGGACTGCAAATATGTCTGTATCTCGTCATCTCCATTACATGGGGGCTGGGGCAATAGGTGGTTTATTGAAGATGGCTAGAAAGAAAAACACCCTTTGGTGCAGCTCACATGAAGTGACAAGGACACTGCATTTCTCGTAAGGTCAACAGGTATTTTCTGTACTTGCTGAAAATGTTCTTAGCTTGGAAAAAAAAGAAAAAGTGAGTGCAGCCACCACATGCAAGGACCCTAAGCTTCATTATATTACATTTGTATCCTTTAAAGCAGAGCTCCAGTCAAAGCTACAAAAAAATAAGTTGGCAGCTACAAAAAATGTAGCTGCTGACTTTTAAAAAAGACACTCAGCTGTTCCTCAATCCAGCGGTGTACTCACTGCAGCCAGTTTCACTGACCATCCTTTCTTCCCAGAGCCATCATCAGCATGGGCACCTGGCTCTGACAGCTTGCGGCTTCACAGTCCAGTGCTGAATGAAAACGTAAAGGCAGGTACCCACCTATATAGTACTAGAGGTTTGTAAGGGGTGCTTAGGTCAACGGTCCCAAGATTGTAACAGCCACACAGTATAATGGAGCTTATTGGTGAATAAGGTTCAAGAGGGCAGGATTTTCAATATAAAACCAAAATCAAGAACACAAGGGCATGACCTCAAACTAACAGGAAGAAAGTTCAAAACTAATCTTAGAAAGTATTTTTTTACTAAAAGATAGATGATGGTGATCCCTGTATTGTGGAGAATACACCTTCCCTTTTTTTTTTTTTTTTTTTTTTTTTTTTATTATTTTTAAGATGTTCCTATATTTATGCATTTTATAAATGATGGCATTTTTGCTTTAGGCCATTTCTGTGGCATACTCAAATTTCCTTCTCTTTGCTTTGATATTTTCAGATGTAGTACTCCTTTTCTTTAATCTCAGCTCCCGTTTCCCATCGATTTAGGACATAGAAAATGTTACTCTGCCTCTGTACAGGTTTAGTAGTGGTGTTCCATTTGGTCTGTTTTGTACTAGTTTACAACTATATCACAAATTCAACAACTGGGAATTATCTAGCAAACAGCAGTCCACCATTCTTCTCCAGATGTTAAAATTTATCAGAAAACCAATAATTTTTAAGCCTGTGTCTGTCTTCTTTCTAAAGATAAACTTCCTGATTTTGGAGGTTGAGTATGTGTAAAAATTCTCCTATTGATAGGTGAGCACCTAATGAGTGTGGTTTGTCCTATTCTTGATAGGTTTGTCACCAAGAGCATCCATTCTACTTTCTGAACATAAGACATTGTGTAATAAAACATTTTTTTTGCCCATAGCAACCAGTCCAGTTCCAGATTTTTCCATTGCAGGCTAGAAATATCAAGGATCAATCTGGCTGCTTGGAGGGACAAGTCTCAGAGCCTGCAATTGCAGTTTCATTACCTGTTTATTGGAGCTGAGGTTATGCCCCAGCATATAAAATTCTGACAAATTATTTGCTTTTTTTACCCATTGTACTTGAGTATGTCTGCCCTTTTTTTCTCATTTATTTTCTCTTAACTTTTTTTTTTTTCCTTTAGGCATGTGCTTGACACGAGCATTCCATAGAGCAAGAGGACTCACAGGCAGCTTTACTGATCGGTTACCTTCAGGTATGTACATAATGGAGAAATAATGCTTTAGTTTTTCTTTTTTTGCACTAGGAGCAATTAAAACAAACCATGCTTTTTTGAATCCCCCCATGTACTGATTATCATCATTTCTTTTGAATGTATCAGTAGCAACTAAATTCTCAAATATTTACCAGCACCTCTACTTGTCATGGGCATTCTCCAGTGTTTATACTTACCCTTTGAGTCCATTCACACCCATGCATTGTGGAAACTTATGGCTGTGTGTGTTGCATTACCAATACCAATTGTCAATGAAATGTCAACACCCTACAGTAGCTGCCATGTGTTCGCTAATTTGCCCCCTGATGTGTGTTGGTAACCCATTCATAAGGAAAGTGCTGTCCTAACATACTGTGCATGATCGCACTGCAGTGGGCTGTAGAAGTGTCAATGGCCCCATACCTTTGCTGGAATCCTATCTGCTGTGTTTACAAAGTTATTGGATGATGTTTAAGAAATGGGTTGAAGTTTTTTATTTGACAGGCTTGCTTTGAGGACTTTTGTTATGACATTTTCATGTAACACACTGCAAACCACCTTAATGCAGTGTTGTGAACAGGGCACATAGAAACATATACATTTCAATGGGCCTTTTTGTAACCTGCGTTGATTAGTGCAGAATAAAACTTGTCACCACACATGGTGTAAATGGTCCCTAATCTTTATTATATTGGCCTCTCTTTAGTCTTTCTTCCTGTGCAAAGACCTTCTGTTGAACCTTTTTGTTGGCCAAATACACTAAAATATTAACCGCTTAGCATATTGTGATGTTTGACATCCCATAGTCTTAATAATTAACCCTTTTAAACATAATGGGCTAATTATAGTGTGTTTTAGTAACTGTGAGATGTAAATGATCTTTAAAAGCTAACCTAACAAACATGCTCCTTTAACAATTAGTGGACGTTTGGCTATGATGATATCTGAAGGAAGAATCGTTTGTATTTTTATGCCATCCGGTCTAGCTTGACCATGTTGTCATCTTGAGACAGGAAGACGAATATTCAAACAGATCCACAGGCAGCAGTAACAAGTTGATACACAATCTAACCCTTCTGATCCTTCTGTTAATATTTTCAAATACATTACATTAAAATGCAGAAACGAACTGAACCTGCAAGAGCCACTGTCTAATTTTCTAGCATCCTATATTTATTGTAAAAGAAGAAAAAGTAATGCTTTAGTTTCCCTCTTAGCTTCAGTCCAATATAGTCATTGCAAGGTTCAATAGTTTAAATCAGCCTTTTCAACCAGGGTGCCCAGTGCCTTGTGGTTTCTTCACGGGTGCCTTGGCAAAATGCCTAAAAATTGCCCAAACGTTTACAAGCCAGCAGGTGGATCAAGCCTGCCTTTTAGTCACACAAAGCCACAGGTGTTCGTTATGCACCATTACAACCTTCTAGCCACCAGCATCCCTACAACTAATGACATCAGTTGATAAAAAGGATGTAGGTGCTCTGCACAGCATTCTTGTTTGCCCCTCTCCTATCATTGCCTTGTCATTCTTGATGAAATAGTGGCTGCCTTAACGCAAAAACGAGCCTCCGTGTGATTTAGCAGACAGTCCACTCATTTTTCTCGAGCAGTTTAGAAAATGAAAAGCAAGCATAAGAATAGCTACTACTGACAATATATCTAAAGCCAGAACTTTTTGGGTAAGAGTAAGGAACAGTTAAAAAGCTGTCAGATTTTTTTTTGTTGTTCTCTATTATTTTTGTTCACTTCCTCTCCTGGAAACCCTATAGGAAGTTAGGGAAACTTGCCACTGGAAGACTTTCCATTTTATACCTATTGATTTGAAATAACTTTGGACTGTTGTCAGTTCTGGCTTTAGATGCATTTTTAGGCATGGGACCTTTTGTATGGGCGCCATCACCTTAGATTGTACGCTCCTTGAGGGTCAGAGACTGAAATGAATGTACAATATACTGTATATGTAAAGCGCTGTGTAAATTGACGGCGCTATAGAAGTACCTGAAATAATAATAATAATCTGGTCTGTTCATCCTTGAACAGATCCCCTGATGGTTCAGAGCAGAACAGGACAGATGTCACTTTTGTTACCCCACAAAATATTAAATGTGTGTGCATATACCTGTCTGTTTTATTAAAAAAAAAAATGGTCATCTGGTCCGTTCTCCTGGATCCCTGTTTTTACCTGACCACAGCAATCACAGAAGCAAGTTTGTATCCCTGCCGGGAGTTACAGGATGCTGTGTTAATGTACAGCATGCCTGTATCTTGTGTGGTCAGTTGCGCGCCCCCTTCATGCTCCTATTTGTTTAGTAAGGAGGCGGGCTTATTTACACACAAAGTAAGGAACTTCTCCATCTGTAGTTTAAATCGCACATAGTAGGTAGGATTATCACACAGCAGGCAGGCAGTGGGTGGTCTTGCATTGCAGGTGGACAGGATCACTGACACATTGGATGGGCTTATATAATACACAGTGGGGAAGGAACTTCCAGGACCGGCTTCAATTTGATAGCAAGGCTCACTTGGAGCTGCTGTCAATGATGAAGCTGGTTCTGGATCACTGCACACACAGACAGGGAAGTTACTTCCCTGCTCTGTGTTTTTGATGTGCAATAAACCCATCCATCAGTCTGCTGTGTTGCATAATCTCACCCATGCGCCAGCTTGTTGAATAACATAATCCCACCCTCCCGCCAGCCTGCTGTGTGCGATGTAATCCTCAGATGAGGAACTTCTCCACTGTCTGTATAATTAGGCTCGCCTTTCACTAAACAGATGTGCCTCCCCCCGCTCTAGTTAAGCATGAGCGATGAGGCTGTGACATCACGTGTTGACCAAAAAAAAATATTTTTTTTTTCTCAAAGAAAAAAAAAAAAGGTATTGATACGTACAATACTTTGTGCTATATTACGAACTATGACCTTTTGAAGCAGTGTGTTCACAATTACTCCATTTAAAAAACAGGAACTTTCCTCCATTTATATCATACTAACTCTGATCCATCACATTGCAGTCTGGGAAAAATGGAAAAGGGTGCAGACCGTTTCCATTTTTTTCCGGATCTGGATGGACTCAGAAGTAAGTGGATGTGCATCTGATTACATTTACCTGCCCACAGACTTACATGGCGCTTCCGAGGTTTTTATACATCAGACTTTTTTGGTTTCCAGATAATTTTTTTTTTTTTATGTAAAAGCATTAAAAGGTTTCATTAGGGATGTTGGACATGTAGTTCTGGCGCCAGGCAGGTAGTTTTTTTCCTCCTTTATTCCTGCTATGGGCAAGCAGCGGGCTCACCTGTCAGGTGAAGCAGTCAGTGGCAGCACTGCTTTCACACAGTGCCAGCCTTTCCATGCCCCACTGAGAGGTTTCCTGGGCTCCGGTTGCCCATCTGCAGGCCCAGTTTGCCATCAGTTAAAGGGGAGGGAGAAGAGCGGACAAGTTTGCTCCCCTCCCCTTCTTGTGCTGACCCGGAAGTGACGTTACGATGTCACTTCCGGGTCCCCGATGAGAGATTGCAATACAATCCCCGGGAAAGAATGTAATATGGTGCAATGTGCACCATATTGTATTCAGTGGAGCAGAGGGGAGACATGCAGGGTCTTTTAGACCTTGGATGTCTCAAAGAGAACCTGTCACCAAAAATCATCACATATGATGTGATGAAAAAAAAATTGTTTTTTTGTTTTTTGTAGTGTAAAAAATAAAAGTTTACACCCAAGCACATACCATCTCCCCCCCCCCCCCCAAAAAAAAAAAAGCAATATTGAGGCCCCCAGCCCCACAAATACGCACGTACAAACGTAAAAGCACATGCTGGGGCGCTAAGCATGAAACCGTCGATTGCGATACTCATGTCACTTATCGCCGTGCCCGCCAGGATGAGAGCGATAATTTTAGCACCAGACCTCCTCTGTACACTATACTGGTGACCTATAAGGAGCTTTAAAAGTGTTGACCTATAGAAAATATAGGGTACTGAAGATTGTCGCCATTTCACGAGCACGCACAATTGTAGTTTTGACAAGTGGGATGTCTATTCACTCACTGCAACCTCATCTTTTATATTTTAAAAAAATATAGGGTAATTTATTGCTTTTTTTTGTGCCCTAAAATTAACTTACTTGTTTTTTTTTTACTAAACGTTTGTGGTAAAATTATTCGACATAAAAAAATTTGGAACTACTACGTTTTTATTCTCTAGGGCAGTGGTTCTTAACCTGGGTTCGATCGAACCCCAGGGGTTCGTGAGTCAGTCTCGGGGTTCGGCGGAGGTGAAGACCCAACCCGACTCATATGATTCGTGCAGTAAATATTCATTATTATGTTTTTGTTTTTGTGTGAAAATCATGTTTTAATGGTTTTGTTCTTTGTTCTTAACGGTTTTGTTCATTTTGTGCATTTTTATGTATAAATATATACCTAAATTATACCTATGTTTTGAATTTTAAAAATCATATTTTATTTTTCCAATTAAGAAGGGATCGGTGAATGCGCATATGAAACTGGTGGGGTTCAGTACCTCCAACAAGGTTAAGAACCACTGCTCTAGGGTCTCTGCTTTCAGAAAATATATAATGATTTGGGGGTTTTATGTAATCTTCAGGCCTAAAATGATTGTTTAAAAACGTGCAAAAAACGCTAAAATGGCTCTGGCAGTGAAAGGGAAGCCCTGACCCCCTCCCCCTTTCCTGACGAGCAGCCAATCGGTGCTGATTACACTGCAAGGTCTCTCCCTTCCCTGCTAGTCCCTGGGGGTGTGGTGCTAGAGACGGGCAGAGAGGAGGAGGAGAGATAAACAGTGCAATGTTAAAAATATTACACGTTTAAGATGCAATAAAGCCCCTTTTTGTTTTTAAAAGTCCCAGACATTCCTAAAATCACCTCTGATTTTAAATACGGTTTTTTGTAAAAAAAAATTTTTTTTTATCAGTACAAATAGATTGTCATGAGGGACAAGTAGATTGGGACCTGATTTTAGTCCCTGGACAAGTAGTTTTTTA